CGTTACTGACTTAACAACTGCAGTGATTAACTTAACAACTGTGGCAAGACAGGTCGTTAAATGGGGCAAAACTCAACAAATGTCTCACTTAACAACAGAAATTTGGGGCTCAATTGTGGTCGTAATCCTAATGCATTGAATTTTATTTTAAAACTAATGAGACATTTTTTTAAAAGGAGGTTGTATCCGTAATCAATAGCTTTCTGTCCTAAATATATTACGAAGCTCCTTGTGGTCATTTTTGGCTTTATTATCCAGTCTTGTACTGTGATCCCTTTTAATGGAAAGTGAGATGTTTTTACGCTTAAGTGTTTGGTTTTGAGACCAAGTACAGACAGCATTTTGCTGAACATGTCAAGTCACATCCTGATTACTACTTGAAGACATTGCAGGGATCACCAGTTCCGGCTTTGGGTCTCTAAAAATATGGGCCTCAATTACAGCATGTCAGAGAAAGCTACTTGTTTCTGTGGAGGCAGACATTTTGTGGAAGACATCTTACCCCCTTTGCAGTTCCTGTGTGTCCTGTGATGTGATGTCATTCTATGCAGCCCGATGCTGCTTTTAATTACAGCTCTTTCTTTTAAAAATGAGCCTTTTTTTCGTTATTAATCTTGTACCGGACAGTTTCTTCCAAGTTTGCAATGCTCAAACAGCATTTCAGTCAGGGCAGATTGAGGCAGAAATATTGGCCCGGTAGAAATTGCATGTTAAGCGACTACATGTTTTTAATAAGACCTTATATTGAGCAAGATCATAAATTCGCCTAGTTTAATATTGTCTGCTCCACTTGGCAGCAACTCTCAGTTTTACCAGCTCTGCTTGGAGATGCCAAAAACTGAAGCTGGAATCTCCTGCATAGGTTGTCTTCTAGCAAGAGATCTGATTTTCGCCTTCCTTTTCTGGCTTCTGCTATTGCCCTTGTTGTGCATCAAGAGTAGAGCTGTGAGGACAGACAGCAGTTGGGCTTGCCATGCCCAATTTTCCACTCTCTGATTTCCCATTGGGCTATATAAAGATTCCATTTTATTCCTAATGAAAAAATTTGAGAATAATCATTCTAAAACCTGATTGTTGTCTGTTTTGGAGAGCTGAGTCAATTCTTTGCTTTTAACTGCCTGAATTTGTTAGCATTCCAAGATAATCCAGATATGAAGCATGGCTATAATTATTAATTCTGCCTTAATTGTAAGGTTGTATTAACAGAATTTTCTAAGCCTGAAAGTACCCCTCCCTCCCTTAACGTTACTCTTTCAAAAACTAAGGAAGTCCCTTCTGAAATGCTTTCACCACTCTTTCAGTCTCAAATTTTGTTTATCAGACCATTGTTTAGGCCACGGGTGTCAAACTCGCAGTGTCACATGATCTGTTGCGATGTATCGCAACTTTTTTTGCATTGCCAGAGCTGGGGTGGGTGCGGCCTCTGCATGATGCAACTGGCCCGTGGATCGGCAGTTTGACACCCCTGGTTTAGGCTATAGCTCTTCCACCTGTCTCCCAAGGTCATTCTCAGTTACCATTATAGATTTATTAGATATCACAGCAAGGCTGGCATTTTCCATTGAACCACTGCAGATAATCCATTGTCCCTTTGGCAAGAGATTTTTGCCTGATTCCACTTTCTAGACTTAAATAAATAAGCTGATCATAACGTCTATTATAGAGTTTCAGCATCTTGTTTCCACTCCGGGGAAAGAAATGCTAGCAGTTTATTTTCTTTTTGTGTAAAATGAAGGCAAGCAGATTTTTGAGACTGATAATACTTCAAGGGCTGGGATGGACATTGATTGGATTATGGAATGGGATTATGCATTTCTTCTGGTCGGTCAGTCACCTCAAGGAAAAGAGAATGAACACGGGCTGACTCTTGTGTTTGCAGATGATTGCAGGTTGGTTTCAAACTTTGGGGAGCTGCAAAAAACTACTTTTATGTAAACGTTGTATCTTCTGTCTAGCACAGTTGGAAGCATATGGTTCTAATTTGTAGTTAGGCATTTTGCATTTATTTGAACTATAGGCCAGCGGTTCTCAACCTATGGGTCGTGACCCCATTTGGGGTCGATCGACCATTTCACGGGGGTCGCCAAGCAAGGCTGTCCGCCATTTTTTTGTCTGCCATTTTTCCCCCTTTTCCGGTGGGTGCCTTACCTCCCCTGAGCTGGGCCAGGTGGTGGTCGGCCTGCTCCGTCTCTGCCGCTTGCCAGCTACGCCTCGGCCGGCGCAGGGGGCGGAACCACGCATGCACGGCGCTCCCAGGCAGGGAAAGTCCTCGACTTACGACTGGTTGGGTAGTCCTCGACTTACTACCGGTTTAGTCCTCGACTTACGACCAGTTGGGGGGGGTTGCGGCATTAAAAAGGTTGAGAACCACTGCTATAGGCCATTCTAGAACAGGTTACCATCATCCTTTACTTGTTGGATATCCTCCCAGATGGCTAGGAATAACTTCCCTTTTTGGCTAGCAGTTGTAAGAATTATAATCCAACATATCTACAGGTTGTCAGACTGAAGGCTGTAGAACAGCTGCAGTCTGTGGAGCTATGCTGTGCTTTGGTAGTATTTTGGAATGCAATGGAGCATGAACACAGCATCAGTCCGAAATTTATTAAAGGAGCTATGTGATTCTTCCAGGTTCATGCTGTTGCTGCTACAGAGAAACTACACTCACAATCCAGCAATCGTGTACAGCTCCTTTAATAAATCATAGACAGATGTTGGGATCTGAAAGCATCTCTTTCAGATCAAATCCAAAGCTTTGCCCAACCCCAGGTATTTATAATATTTCATTTATTTCTACATAGGCAAACAGTCTATGAGGGGTCTCATCCATTTATCTACCTCGAGACTTCTTTGCTGCAACAAAGATCTGTGCTGCCCCTTTTCTCCCGCAGGATGTTTTATTCTACACAGGAGTTTTGTAATTTGAGTTGTTTGTGGCAAACCTGACTTCTAAACATTACTTTTCCCTCCAATTGTGATTCTAGTTGAGGAGGATTCAGAATGCAATTGAAGGAGAATCGCCGGGAGAAGAGGCAGAGAAAATAGAGGGAGCTAGTCAGATCACCTTGCAAATAGGTTATCTCAGGTAAAAGACTAGAAAGCACTAGAAGAGATGATATTGCTGGTGGGCCAAGCATGTTTATTTCACTGGTACTCTTAAGATCTTGCTAAATATAGTAAATGGCAGACAATCTATCATATGCATGTTGTGCTTGCTATAGGAAGAAAAGGAAAAGAGATCTTTATTCTGAAAAACTGTGTAAGAAAGTATTAAAAGGTTACAAAGGTACATGGCAAACCTCAACCTAATTATTATTTTCAAGGAAATGAAGTAATTACATTTTCAAGTAAAATGCACAAACTTAATTTGATGCTTTGTTGCCGATTTGGGGCAGAGATGCTTTGCATTAGTCTTGACTCTGGACAAATCCTTGAAGTTTTCTTGGCAAGATTTCAGAAGTGGTTTGCCATTGCCTCTTTCCTAGGGCTGAGAGAGAGTGACTGGCCCAAGATCACTCAGCTAGCTTTGTGCCTCAGGCAGGACTAGAACTAAGAGTCTCTTGGCTTCTAGCCTGTTAAACCACTATACTATCTGGCTATCTCAATTACCAAATATTCTGATGTCAAATTTCTTTGACTGCTCATTTTTTTGGAAATGTCATTGTTTTTGCTATGGCTTTTCTGACAGATATAAACAGAAAAGCCCTGTCTAGCAGAGATTTCAGTTGCATTTATTAGAAAAAATATATTGATGATTTTTTTTAAAAAAAATCTATAATTTTTCCTCAAAAAGATATTGGACATGGTCTTCCTTTCAGTTGCCTTTTCAAAAACAGCCAAACTAAAACCCTTGGTCAATACCTCATGATGCTGGTTGCTAAGGTACCCACAGGGTCAAAATAATCAAAATGGCGATCACTCAATTGATTCTCCACCAAGAGTTTTGATTGTGTAGGCACAATTACTATTATGATTTTTTGACACATTCTCTGCAGATGCCTTACAGGGAGGTGATGCATAAGCAAAGATTTTGTTTATAATTTTTGCATAATCGATTGATGGTATCAAAGCAGCATTTTAAACATTTCCATGCCGCCCTTCATTATAAGAATTCAGTGTTGCTCATATTTGAAAATAGACTAAATATAGCAATATAACAAAACTGTTAGTGTAGCTTGCAGAGTGTGAAAATGCATTTGAATATGTTACTGGCCTGTGCTTCATTGTAATTTGTTTAACCACTACACAAATGGGTTTTCCGATTAAAGTGTTGTACTAGAAAATGGGAGATCAGGAGTTCTAGTCCCTGCTTAGGCATGGAAACTAACTGGGTGATGAGGACAAATAGTAGGAGGAAACATTTATTTTATTTCTACAAAATAAGAGTGGTACATAAATCTAATAAATAACCATGGCCTACTGAATAAACTATAGTTGGTTTGGTTGATGTTAACGACAGACAAGCACACTGGTCTATTCTGATATGAGAAGTTAACCATTCTAACTGGGCTCTTTCTCATTTAAAGACACATTTTGTAAGGGCTTCCACCTGAAAAAAAATGAAAGTTATTTGTTGGGGAGAGGGGAATTGGAGCCATGTCTGGGAGTTAGCTGAGATCAGCAACGGAGGTTTTCTTCTAGTCACAGCAAGTAGCTGGTTTCCTTGGTTGATACCCTTCCTGAACTGAAGCCCCAAACCTAGATTATGAAATTTATGGATGTTGCTTACTTCCATTTTCAGAGCAACATGTAACTGAGCAAAAAAGTGACATGTCATTATGTAATTTTGACTTCACTGGGTGGCATATATGCAGGTACATGACAAAAATGCTTTTATTAAAAATCATGCATTTTACTAAGGAGATTCAGCATAAAGATCTGGTTACCTAGCATCTGCTATCACTCAGGAATTCTGGGAGTTGAAGTCCACAAGTCATAAAAGAGCCAAGCTTGCCTACCTCTGAGTTAGGGCATGAGCAATAACTCCCTCTCTCTTGGCCCCCAAATGGGAAGAATTGTGGTTATCAGCTCATACCATGTGGCTCTTGTGGCCAGGTGCTTATCACAGTATTGGGGTGTTTTGCTATGGGAAATTGATTCCTGTGATATAGTTGTAGAAGCAAAAGACTTAAAAAAAAATCAAGAAGGGTTTCTGGCTCAAAGCCTGTGTATTGTAGGTATTTAATCCAGTTTATTACCTGCAGATGATCTGTCCTGCTCATTTGCCCTCGCAGTTTTATAGAAAGCAGAAACGTTTGAAGCATTTTGCATTTCCAGGTGACATCACTAAACACTTAAGGATACCTCCATCCTATTTGCAGGAAAATTCAAGAGAAGGGAACAAACAAGGCAAATTTGCTGATCTACCCTTGCTTCAGGATTATATTTGAAACCATATATTAGTTTCTATGGTGGACAAAGTACACATATATATGTCACATGCTCCAAAAAAATTTGTTTTATTTGCTGAGTGACACTTCTTTTTTGTTGGTTTTGTAATGCAGAGCAACAGTGCAGGATATAGAGAAAGAGCTAAAGGAGCTGAGACAGAAACAAGATACGGGGAAAGCCACATTGGAGCAATCAATGACGGACAATGCCTATTACCTCCAGGAGCAGGTCAGCAAATGAACTCAGGATGTGTTGAGATGAGAATGTCTTTAGCTAATCTAAACAACAACAACAAAGAACCCAAGTAACTGGGAAAAGCACTCTATGTGTGTGTATGTGTGTGTGTAAGACTGCTGTGTCCTTTCTAGAATTTATATTTATTCCTATGTATTGTGGACAAATCCTTTGTTAATGAAAATGTGTTGAATTGGTTGATGTTGCTTCTATAGCTAGTGACCAGAATGTTGAACTTGCAAGCTAATAAATGAGTCAGGAGTGTGGACAAAACTCACAGTGTTGTCCACACATTCACAGTGAGAAGTTTGAAATATAAGCAGGAGATGAAGGATCACAAAAAAAAAATCAGGCTTGAGAGCCAATCCAAGATTTGAAAACCAAGACTTTACCAAGTTTGATGTTTCATCTCTTGCTTTACCTTTATGTAGGCACCATGGCCAGTTTTCAGAATTACTGGCTTCCTGAATACCTAGCATAGTAATTGACTTATATGCGCTTCCTGGCCATACTCAGAAATTTAAATCAAGTTTTCTTTGGGATGTTAAGTGTCTGAAATGTCTAGAAGTAACTACAAAGTTTGAAAAAAGCATCACAGTGCTGTTTATTCCTGGCCACCAAGAATGAGACCCTTAATTTCTTTTGACCTTGAACAGCCCCTGGAATTTTTCCTAATTTGATGGGGTTTGCAGAGATGGTTTTCCAATGGAAAACGAATGGATGGCACAGGTTCAAGCAATGCTAAATAAGATCTGAATAAAGCAAAGCTGCCTCTATTTCAGGAGCAATGATTTTCAGCTCTGCATTCGTCTTGCAATTAACAATTAACTAGTAGTAACAAGGTACAGGAATAATGATGCTTTCCTGGTGATTAGCTCACTAGATTTACTTTTTTTCAGCTTGCCTTCAACATGCCCAAAGTCTCATTACATTGTGGGTAGCTTCTAACTTTCTTGTATTGAGAGATGTGGGTCAGAATCAGCTTCTGGAATCTGGAGTCCTCCCAGTCATGAGTTTGTAACTTGTACTATCAAGAGGTTGAAAAGGACATCTGGTGGAAATAGGCAAGTTGTGGGAGGGCTCAGCAAAGGGGCAATTTTATTTCTATAATTAAAGAAATTGGCACAGCTTTCCCTCCTTTAATCTCTGGGTTGGCATTTAAGTTTACAGGATTACAATCATGCAGAAAACAAAGTTCATCATATGGGTCCTTGCCTCTTTCTGCTTCAGAAAGAAACACTTGGCTAGAGTGTTCTGGTTGTTCCTGCCCATCTAATCTGCCCTTTGTTGCCTTGCAGAGCCTTTATTTCTTGATTTAGAACCATACCCGTGGAGTTATTCCTTGAATGAGCTTTTGATCTGCAGCTATTAGCAGGAGGATAATCTTTGGCTCCCATATGATTAAATGCTTCATTTGCTAATTTCTGCATATCAAGAAGAAGAAGCCAAGTTTTTTGTTCCTGGCTGCTTGGCAAAACATATTGATTTGTTATAGCAAGTGCCTCTAATTTGGCACTCTCCAAATGGCGTAAGCCAATGGTTCCCAACCTTTTCTTTACCATGGACCCCCTTTAAATACCTTTTTGTGGCCACGGACCACTAAACACAACATTTCTTCAAGCCTTTGTGGACCCTCCTGTGATGACATTGCAGCCCCTCAGGGGTCCATAGACCACAGGTTGAGAACCACTGATGTAGGCTATGACTCCTATTATCCTTAGCCTTCAAGGGAAGTGGAGATTGTTGTCCAGCCTATCTGGAGAGTGCCATGTTGAGGCTGTCCTTTAGGTGTTCAGATCAGTCTGATGGGCAACCCCCATTTTTTTCCATTAATATAGTGGAAAATTTGTTTCCTTTATAACACCATAATAATATGTATCATCATTTTGGTGTAATCGTGGCTAGCTGCAGATGCCTACTGGAGAACTCCCGTTAAACAGAGTCAAAGCTTGCCCACTGGGAGGTCTATCTACCTCAAAACTCTTTTTGCTCAGGTTCCACATTGTTGCAGTGGAAGAGCGATGGGATTTTCAGCAGGAGCAGACTTTTTCTTCCTTGCACTAAGTCCTAAATCACTCCCCAAAGTGCTTTCAATTATTCTCTATTATTCCCATGGACCAAATAAATATGTGTGGGAAACTCTCACTAACATGAGTGGAAGCTGCCTTTTGGAGTTGGGATTTAGTTTCAGGGAAGTTCTAGAAACGATTTAAATGATTATTGATGTATTTAACATTATTATAATGAACCCAAATTCTACCATTACAAGGTTATTTTAGCTTCATGTATTTTTAGGTTTATCTCAGCTTTGCCTTAACGGGCCAATCCAGATCCATATATGACAGTGGTGGCGAACCTATGGCCCGGGTGCCAAAGGCGGCACTCAGAGCCCTCTCTATGGGCACATGTGCCATCGTCCCAGTCCTAGGCCTTCAGCTGGGTTTTATAAAACCTTTTCGTTATAGGCCTCTGCTGCTGTGTGCAAAAAAAAAAAAGGTTCAATCAATCAGTCAATTTCAACTTCTCGCGGGAAAAAAAAAGATCTTGCAAAGTTGGAATTGATTGATTGAACTTTTTAGTCCCACCCAGTCTGCCGTTACCATCGCAACCACGCCCACCCAATGGGCCACACACCCCAATTGGCCACACCCAGCCAATGGGCCACACCCACCCGGCACCCGACAATGCATAAATGGGTTTGGGGTTGCAGTTTGGGCACTCGGTCTCTAAAAGGTTCGCCATCACTGATATATGGTATCCTCCAGTCTAGTGTCCTGGAACTAGCAGTGTTGGAACTCCCTCTAAAATAAGCTTACAAAGCTGAGGAAAACTGATTCGGTCCAACAAATTAAAACAGCCAGTTCCTGTCACTGTATGTTAGAGATGAAAACCAGGATTTCCTTTTCAAGAAACCAAACCCCTGCTTTTCTCACTTGCTCACAGTTAGACAAGCTTAGATCTGTCATAGAGAACATGATGTCCTCCTCGTCAACCTTGCTGTCCATGAGCATGCCACCCATCCCAGAGTCTGGTGCAGCTCAAGTCCAAAGCACGTGCGCAGCCTGCAGCTTAGATGTCAGTGAGAAGGTTAGCCAGTTGTTCAAGCGCTACGAGCAGCTGCAGGACTCAGTCAACAACTTCATGTTGAGGCAGGCAGAAAGCAAGACGAAGAAACCCAAGCAACGCCAGGTAAGGCCAGAAAGAAGATGGCTCAGTCTGCACACTTCTTTTCAGTTTTCAACTGGATAGTTTTGTAAACTGCCCATCCAGGTGAGATGGGTGGTGTGGAAATTTAGTAAATAAATAGCTAAGGACATGGTAATCCTCTCCAAGATGGACAACAATGGATGTGCTTTGAGCCACAGTTCAGATAGGGAGGCCTAATTTATTGGAACTTTGTGGAGGTGTGGATGATCTGTCTAGCTCAGTATTGCCTGGTAGTGTTTTCTAAGAGTGCCAGATATAGGTATTTGCCAGCTGTTCCTGGAGAAGCCAGGAACTGAATCTGGGAGCTTTTGTGTGCAGAACATAGTCTTTGCCTCTGAGCTTTATCGCAACCTTTTACCCCAACGATAGTGGCTGCGTGCTTGCTAGTGGGGAGGGAAATGCTTTGCAGATTCATTCACCTTTCAGGTCATATTATTTACTGATTTGGTCCATACATCATGCTATGCTATCTTTTTTAAACAATGATTTCTTAATAAATCTCAGCCATGGCAGTATTAGTGAGGCTTTCTAAGTACTTTCTGCCTTTGAGGATTTTTTAAGCAGTCACAAGTTCAACATGTATGTTTTCTAATAGAGTTGCTCAGGAACATAGAACATACCAGTAGAATAATAAAGTTGGAAGGGACTTTGGAGGTCTTCTAATCCAATCCTCTGGTCATACAAGAGACCCTATACCATTTGGTCGTCCAGTCTCTTTTTGGAAGCCTCTAGTGATGGAGCACCCACAACTTCTGAAGGCAAGCCATTCCACTGGTTGATTGGATGTAGAGACCGATGATATAGGAAGGCACCATTTTTTTGCCATAGACCTTGTGTGGGGAAATGGAAGCAGATCTGTTTTAACATACTTCATATTTCACGATAACAGCACAACAACTGGAATACTTTTAATATAGAAATTACCTTTGATAGTTTTGAAAGAGGAACTATAAATATCATACCCTGCTTAATGATTGTCTTCCTGTTTCAGGAGGTTTTAGTATTTTAGCCACTGAAACTAGCAGGTTCCCAACTTCCCAAAACTGCTTTCTAAGAGTCACTTCTAGGATTCAAGTATATTGTTTCATTCCTGATTAAACTTAATACTTTTACACAATTTCAATTTTTTTTAAAATAATTCAAACTTTGCTTCATGCAGCCCCATGTCCTTGGCCAGGCTTATCTTAAACCTTATCATAAACCTTGTGTTACATCATGAAGTTCAGTAAGATTGTTGATATTCGGAATTGCAGCTTATCTCGTTACAACACTCCATTAGTAAGCCTGTTATGCCTTGCTTTGCTTTTGTTCCATTGATTTGTCTGCTATTTTATCTTTAATTTAAAATAGCTGAAGAAATTATGGCAGCAATTATGGCACATAGTTCAACCTTATGCAAGATTTCTGGTTTTGTTCTAAAAGAGTTTCGGTCTTTTAGAACTGTGTACAGACACGTCTATTCAACTGGCCAATTTCCAAGGTCATGGGGGCTTGGTTTGGTTTGATTTTTTTGTGAGCTTTTATTTTACTCTCTTATTCTTAGATACTCTTCCAAGACTGTTTTGAAGGTTGAATGCAGGGACCCAAGTCTGACATAATTACTTTTAGTATCATGTGCTTCTTGAACTTGGATGTTGGCAGAGCATTTAACAATGGAGTTTCCCTCAGTTTCGACTAATGTGATTTTTAAGTAGTCACATATGAATCTAAGCCTAAAAGTTGTGAGAATAAGTAGTACCCCAAGAGCATGTCAATGTCCTAGATATGAATCCATCTTCCATTACTATGTCAAGGATGTTCTCATTTTGTTTCTTCCAACCTTTTAATGGGAAATCAGAATGTATATAACAGCTGACCATCATGAATAATAATAAACTGGGTGCCACATCCTAGATGTGCCTGTTATATAATAAAGATACATTTATATTATTTCACATATATCTTGAATTTATTTTATTATATTCAAATAAAATATCCTCCTGCCAACTTTTGGAGCAGACTTTCTTTGCAGGATTTCCTATTTGTCATGAAGAGATGGATCAACCTTTCATTATTTACTCTAAGTTGCCCAAAGGCAGCAGCTTGAACTTTGAAAAAGAGAACAAGAAAGTTAATAAGACCGCCACTTTTTTCTTGTTGACTTTGGCATTCATGCTTGTTCCAATCAGGAAGAAGAGGTGCTCAACCAAATCCAGAGTACTATCCTGCAAGTCCAAGAAGACTGTGAGAAGCTGAATGCCACTACTGGCACTCTGGTTGAAGATCATCACCTGAAACAGAAAGAGATCAGTGTACGTAACTTTGTGTCAAAGTTAGCAGGTGGGATCAAAAAATGGGAAGAAGGTCTTGGAAATTGTTCTGAATGCAGTGGATATCAGTTCTGGTTTTGATCAGGATTGTTGTCCTTGCTGAAGTTTGCATAATGAGGCTTAAAGTAGCTATTAGCCAGAATGGCCCAGAAAGAAGGAATACTGGATAACCCACGGCCCATTGTTTCAGAGATATTTCCTTACTTAAACAGAGATATTGAATGCAAGTAATCCTTGGCTTATGATCACAATTGAGCCCAAAATTTCTGTTGCTAAATGAGGCATTTGTTCAGTGAATTTTGCCCCATTTTACAACTTTTCTTGCCACAGTTCTTTAAGTGAATCACTGCAGTTATTAAGTTAGTAACACAGTTTTTAAATGAGTTGGCTTTTCCCCTTGACCTTGCTTGTCAGAAGATCACAAAAGGTGATCACATGACCCCGGGCCATTGCAAGTATCATAAATATGAGTCAGTTGCCAAAAGTCTGAATTTTGATCACCTGACCATGGGGGTGTTGCAGGGTCATAAGTGTGAAAAATGTTCATAGGTCACATTGAATGGTCACCAATGAGCTATTGTAAGTCAAGGACAACCTGTAACCACAAGCAGTTAACTTTCCTTGTAGAAAGCTGTCAGGCAACGTTGGAAAGGATGATCACGTAACCACAGTTGACCGTGGATGCATAGCAGTGTGCGAGCACTGAAGTGACTACACATTTGCCAAATTTCAGTCCCATGGAAATCATGGGTTCTGGATTTTGGATGCATTTTTTAATTTAGCCCATTTAAGATACAATGATTCAAAAACTGTTGCCTCAGACACACAATTTTGCCCAATTTAAGTTTATAAACAATCAGACATGAGAGTTTCAGTTGTATTCTAGACAACCTGTAACCCATTAGGTCATCCTTTCAGAAACATTTCCTTACCATATTCCTCAATGCCTTCAACAACGACAGAACTAATGTACTGCCTTCACTGGAAAAGTTGGGATACATTCAAAGATGTACCTGCTTTGAAAATAATCCATGTTGAACTATATAACACAGTCAAACATCAGCAAAGGAAATGTTCTATGAAATTTTGTAGTATGTCACACGCTGTTTTATGTTTTATGTCAGGAAATGTTTTATAAGAATTTGTCAAATTTCAATTCATGGGAATCACGAGCCACAGATTTAACTCATTCTGTAAATTAGCCCATTTGAGGTATCTTGGTTCAAAAATTGTTGCCCTGTGATGCACTGTTTCACCCAGTTAAAGATCATGGGAATGAGAGTTTTAATAGTATATAAATAGATGTAAATATTAAGGCATGAAGTTGTTTTTGTTGCAGAGAAGTAAGATTCTTATATATATGTGGCTAGTACTTAAGGGCATATAGTATACCTAGGTGCAGTATAAGTAAACAGTGAAAGTTACAACATGGTATATAAACTAAAATCAAAATACAACATTTATTAAAACATCTAATCCCGAGGCTACTATAATTGAAATCAGTACTGAGTATTGACATTGAAAGAATAGAAGCATTTTAAATCTGAGGAGACTGAAAGCCAAACATAATTTGAGGGGGAGTCAAATCCAAAGAGTAGGAGCTAGATGTGAGACAGTTCCTCTGACTTGAGGGAAAACTTAGTGCCCCTGATTGCACGATTGAACTAAGCACACAGAAGCAAGAATTGTTACCAAGTTGTTCAAATAAGTAGGTGTTCCTATACACACAGCCTGGAAGATCAGAACCAGCTGTTTAAACCTTTAATGCTTCTGAAGACCTAGCCAATGTAAATATTGGTGGAAGGAAGAAATAAGGGTGACTCCAGGGAGGTCCAGGACCACATGGGCTGCATTATTCTGGACCTGAACCAAAGGGCAGAGAGTAGATTCGGGAAGATCAGCCAAAAAGCTGTTGCAGTTATTCAAATGAGACACCACCAAGGCATGATGCAAATACTTAGAGAAAAAAAAATAATGGATGGAATTCTGGATACTCCTAAGGTGAAACTGACAAGATTTTGTCATTGTATTGATGAAACATCACTAAGAAATCCAGATCTTATACCATCAGAGACATCAGTACCTGGCAATCTTAAAAAGTGAAAGGCAGAAGAAAGGATGGTCAGGGTAAAAAAAAAACAATAAGCTCAGCCTTGTCCAAATTTAATTTAGATCGGTGAGAAAATATCCAGTTGGATATTTCAGGCTCTTGGAGAGACAAGACCACAATAGATTGTCAACACCAAGACGGGGGTTAAGGAATACACCTGGATGTCATCAGCAGAGATAGGTTAGCTAAACTGTAAAGAAGAAACGAAAACAAAGTATCAGAAATGAACAAAATTGGACCTAGGACCACACTCTGAGGGACACTCTGTGATAAAGGAAAGGATAGAAAACCAAGACAGAAATAATAGAAAAATGTGATGGGAAATATAAGACTGTAAGTGCCCAATTCAGGTCCAGTCAAGTCAAAGTAATTTATTAAACTTTTGTGATGAAAAGTATCAAATGCCACAGATAAAACTGCCAGAAGAAATACTGATGTTGTTGGTTTGTCTTTGCTACCAGCAATAACAGACAACCCATGTCAGTACCAACTTAATGGATTGATCTGCTTAAATCTATGAGTGAAATGGTTCAGTGAAATTATTTATTGACTGAGAGGAGAGAAGGACAGAGAGAACATCTTGTTTAATAATATTAGACACAACATAACAGAAGGTAGTTTTGATTTGAATCCATGTAGGATTAGAGCTAAGGTTAAGTTAATCATTCACTCTAGGCTTGACTAGCAGCTTTTTTTTCTTTTTGATGGGATTAGATTAAATATGTCATACCCAGTAGGGGTCATGACCTGATGACATCAGAATCACATGAATTTTGTTTGCTTCAGTGATATTACTGGTTAAACATAGTCTTTTTAAAATTAGTATACACTATAACCACTAATAGGATATGAAAGAAATAAACTGTTGGGGCATCCTAAAACTATTTTGGCTACATCTTGAGAAAAGTAGAACCTGCTTACTACTTGAACAGAGAATCACTAGGAGATTTTAAAACTATGTTATGGATCTGCCCCTGGACCCCTCTCCGGCCGCAAGTTCAAAGGAGGAGGGTGAGTTTTGAGTCGACAAAGAAAAGCACGGAGCCAAATGTTGGTCAGGATCGGGGCTTGGGGAGTGCTGGCCTGACGGAGCAGCCTCAGCTGGGTCGATGGGAAGAACGACAGGCTGAGGCTGAGTGAGGCAAGCCACACTGTAGCAAGTTGGCCAGGAGGCTCCGGGTGAGGACTGGGATCAGCTGCCGCCAATTAGCAATCAGGAGGAGGTAGGGTCCACACCTCCTTCTGATTCAAGGACCTATAGAGCAGAGAGGAGACAGGCACAACACCAGTCAGCTACTTGTGAGGAGGCAACCTCACCTCATGAAGGGCTGCACTGGTGTTGCCTATTTAATCCCACCCTGAGGACTTGAGCGTTGCCTAGTTCTGTGCCTTGTGTGCTTGTGCCGTGTATCATGACCCGTTCAACTCGTGGACTGCTTTCCTGGACTTTGTGTTGCCCAGTGACTCTTGCTGTGCTGAATTCAGAATCTGGACCAGTGCAATGGGGGTGCTTTCCAAGGAACTGTTTGGGGAGGAGGGGTTGAATAAACAACTAGACTCTTGCTGTATGTGGGTGGGTGGGTGGGTGGGTGGGTGGGGAAGTGGGGCAGCACAAACTAAAAGACAAGACTAGCAAGTTGAAAAAACATCCTGGAAGAAGGAAATGGCAAGCCCACTTCCTGACGTGTCACTTACATCAACCATGGGATATTACTATCTCTTTTATGTGGTAAAATATAGGCAACATCCAGGCCAATGGAAATAGGGAAGATCTGCTTATGGATTGTTTGTAAAGATAGTGGTGATGATGATAAACGTACAGGAATTGGGAGTTTTTGTTTTGATAACGATGTCCTTTCGCTTTGCTTTCTGTTCTCTAAAGGCATTGTACAAATCACTGGAGAAACTGGAAAATGAAAAAGTTGACAAAGATTCCCTAGAGATGGAAATCCACGTGGTAAGCAGTTTGACTTACTGACATACGATGGATATAAGCATACTTGGGGAATCATGAATAGATACTCCTGAGAAAGTTTTATGTACAAATGGAGCCTGTGGGGCAGTCAGGAATAGCAAGCTTCCACTCTGTTTTGAATGGCCATCCTGATACAGGTAGTCCTTGAGTTAGGAGGGCAACTGGGACTGGTATTTCCCTTCCTAAGTGATACGGATGTATAGTGCAGTGTTGTGTGACTGCACCATTTAGTGATGGTAATCTCTGCAGTCCCAATTGCCGCTGTTAAGCAAGGATTGTGAATCGTTAAGCAAGTATCTCCTCACAACTTTCTTTCGGCTTCCAACAACCAAAGTCAGTGGGGAAGCCGGCAGGAGGCTGCAAGTTTTAGGTGGCTTGCAAGCAGGTTGGCAGGCAGGTTAGGGTTAAGGTTAGGGTTAGGGTTAGAAAGAAAGAGCCAGGGAGGTGCAGCACAAGTGCAGTGGGGCTTGGGGTGACTGCTGCTGGGTGAGAGAGGGTGTGTGAGGATGCGTTAATGGGGTGGAGTGGCATGAACATGGCAGAGCTTGGGATGGCGGTGGCTGAGTAGAGAGGATGCACAAAGGCATGCGAATAGTGGGGGAGGAGAAGCATGAGCATAGCGGGGCTTGGTGTGGCTGCTGGGTGGGAAAGGGAACGAGGGGTGCACGGGTGGCCAAAGAGGTGCAGCACAGATATAGCAGGGCTGGAGTGACTGCTGCTGGGTGGGAGAGGGTATACAAGGGGGTATGAGTGGCTGGGGAGGTGTGCGGGTGCAGCAAGGAGCAGGAATGGTGTCCAAGTGAGGAAGATTTGCCCATGCACCCTGTGACCTTCTCTGCTGGCTTCCCCATTGACTTTGCTTATGGGAAGCTGGCAGGGAAGATCACAAATCATGCTGTAACTGTCATAAGTGTGAGCTGGCTGCCAAGTATCCAGATTGTGTTCACCTGTCCATGGGGTGGCTGGGAGAGCCTAACTCAGTGATGGCGAACCTTTTAGAGACTGAGTGCCCAAACTGCAACCCAAAACCCACTTATGCATCGTCGAGTGCCGGGTGGGTGTGGCCCATTGGCTGGGTGTGGCCCATTGGGTGGGCGTGGCTGCAGTGGTAACAGCAGACTTCCACCAGAAGTTGAAATTGACTGATTGAACCTTCTTCTTTTTTTTTTGCACACGGCGGCGGAGGCCTAAAGCGAAAAGGTTTTATAAAACCCAGCTGAAGGTGTAGGACTGGGGCGACGGTGCGCGTGCCCACAGAGAGGGCTCTGAGTGCCGCCTCTGGCACCCGTGCCACAGGTTCGCCAACACTGGCCTAGCTGTAACCACCTCTCATTCAGCACCCTCCGTAACTTTGAATGATTCTTGAATGAGTGGTTATTAAAGGCGGACTACTTGTATTTACCATCCTTTGAGCTTGGGTTAGGTTGGACTAGTGCTATTTTGGACTTTCGTGTAATTTGTGGCTCTTGAGGGCAGAGGAGGGAGAGATCCTCAGATATCAATGAGACCAAAGATCTATCTCTGTCCTTTTTTTTCTTCATTTTCAGAAAGCAGATAAGACTGCTCTTGCGGCAAAGGTCAGTCGCAGCCAGTTTGATGCCACCACAGAACAGCTACATAAGATGATGCAGGAACTGCTAAATAAGATGGTGGGGCAAGAGCAAGACTGGCAGAAAATGCTTGACAAACTCTTGATTGAAATGGACTCTAAGGTAAGCAAGATGCATCCTTCTTAGCCATTTGCAATCCCGTCAGCAGGAAAACTACTCGTGCTAGTGGTCCCTATTGTGATGTGCAGTGAGGCTGCTAAGCTCCTTACAGAAATGTGGGTCCTTTTTTCCTTGGCCAGGAACATGGATGGGTGGTAGAATATATCGCTTGTGTTTTCCTCTACAGCCAGGTGGACCTGAAGCACATTATGTACGCATTCTGATTTCTAGCTTGTTTCTGGACACAGTGAAAATTCTGTTTTTGATCTAATGAACACTAACACACATGCCTCTTCCCCAGTATTTCCCAGATGCACTGGGAATTAACATCTCTGGCTGGCAATTTGAGGATTTGGCTCCACTGCCTCTAGAGAGTAGGAAGCTGAAAGAGGTTGTAAACAGACTGAGATGAAAATTATGAGCTCTCTTGTTCTCTCCAATTATTCAGCTACTCTTGCCGTATAAGCTATGACAAGAAAGGGGGGAAATAGATCCCCTTTCTCTGGGGGCAAAGAAGCCTCTGCAGGGAGAGTTCCTCAGTGCCTGTGCTTTTATTGTGTAGGCAACAAATCAAGACTATTATTTTCCTGTCTTTTGCTTCATTTGCATTGTTATTTTTTCTTTCTTTCTTTCTTTCTTTCTTTCTTTCTTTCTTTCTCTTTCTTTCTTTCTTTCTTTCTTTCTTTCTTTCTTTCTTTCTTTTTTTCTTTCTTCGGCTCCTATTGCTGATCCTGTTTCTACAAAAATAATAAGAAGAAAGTGTTAATTTTATTACTATTTATGAGGCTTCGTTGAAAATGTTTCTACCATAAACTACTTGGAGCATGGATAGTAGAAAGGCAGGAACATTAAACTAAAAAGAATAGCTTTATAGGAACAATTCCTCTACTCTTTTCCGTGCCTCTTTGTGTGGAATGTTTCTGGAGCTAATTCTGTCAGCCTTTACTTGCTTGTAGGAGAAGGCTCTCTTGCAGAAAATAACGATCCCAGAGTAAATAAGTAATATAAAGAAATGCAAAGCACAGGAGCAAAAATTTAATAAAATCACAATCTAGAAAAAAAAAATATAAAAGAATTAAGAACCCCTTGTGGCATGAACACTAAGCAAAAACTATATAGAAACAAATCAACCCTGTATTTATTATTCATGTATTAATTAATTAAACTTATTGTACTGCCAACTACCAAGGTCCCTTGGTAGTTTATAGCAAGATGTAACGTAGAAATTGAAATTCAAGATAGTAGGAAAAACTAGCAATAACAATTAAAAACAATTTACACGGTTTATTTAGGATGTTTTTGAAAGAAAGCAAAGCTGTTAGGTCCCATAACCCAGCAGGGAATGTGTTCCAGAGAATGGAGCGGCTAAAGAGAAGACTTGACCTAAGCTGCAGCAATTGTAGGTGAACTTCCAAAATAATCTCTGGGAGTGGATGGGGCTGGGGAATCTTGTAGAGGTGTTTCCTCAGAGAGGCTGGAACTGAATCATATACCGGTTTACAGATAATAAGATAATAATACCCCTTCACGCTTTACCCAAAGGCAAATAGGTAGGCAGCACAATGTCTTTAACTCAGATATAATGTGGTTCTTTTGAGTTCTTCCCGAGAGGTTTGATTGGTGAGTTCTGAACCAGTTGACGTTGCTAGGATAGATACAAAAGCAGCCTCACGTAGAGTATGTCACAGGGGTCAAACCTGAATGTTATTAATATGCATCATATTAAGGATGAATTTGGTGTGTCAACCAAAATTGGTACATCAGCCAAAGCTAATGAAAGGTGCTACCGTATTGGCCATTGCCTCCGTCTAGAAAACTAAAGAGAGATTTGCATCAGAGGCAACTGCAAATTCCATACCCCTTCTTCTTAGGAGCTTAGAACAAGGAGTTCTACCACCTCTCTGAAACACTGGATCCAGTTGCAGTTTATTATTGTCCATTATCCAGCCATTATCAACTACAGGCATGGACACAGGGAAGTCAGACTATTGCCTGAAGATGTTACAGAGAAAAAGATCGTCATCAACATAGTTGTAGCACCCGGTTCCAGATTTCCTGTTTATCTCCCCTGGCAAATTCATGTTGATACAGAAGAGCACTGTAGTTGGAATGGAGTCCTGAGAGACACTCGTGTCGAGCAACTGTTTCCAGGTGAGATAATCGGAAATCTACCAACAGAGGATCGCAATAGTTCCTATTTCCTTATTTCTCAGATGATCCAGAAGAATACCGTTACTGATGATATCAGAAGCTGCTGGGAGGGCAAAGAGAATCAACAGATTCATACTCTGTCAATCTACAGAAACAAGGCAATCTCACACACAGTCTACTTGGAAGCCAATTTAAAACAGTTTAAAGAAAATCTACCCCTGGGTTTGCTTGCAGCTAAGAAGTCAGCATCTTCTTATGTTACCAACCATGGAAAGCTAAAAACTGGCCTACAAGTGATCCAATGCAAACTACTTTAGAAGTGGAGTAATAATTGTCTCTTTTCCACAAAGGAGCATCCTGGCTGCCTCAGAGATGCATTATGATGCTAACTAAAGTGTTTATAGTAACTTTTCAGGTAGAAATTACCAGTCAGGATGCACAAGAATCTAGAAATTAGATGATGGAACATGCCATTCCCAGTAGCCTGCCCATATCCTTAGGTGACACAAGCTAAAAGTAGCCTAACCATAGAAAATACTAGAAAATTCCATAATTAATGCGGCATCAGAAGAGGCAGATGGACTGGCCCCAAAGTGAGAGATATTATCTATAAAAAAGTTAACAGCAGCACAAGGCTCTCTAACATAACTCTGGGAGGAAGACTGTATCATAAGAATCAGTCCCCTCATAATTCAAAACAATTTAATAATTGCTTTTAATTGTTCACAAGCTTGCAGATGCAATGCATGCAGAAAAAAATGTGTTGACATGTGTTCAAACAGGATTTAGTCTACACCTTATTGGATACATGTTGAGTCTTTCTCCATCTACACTGTAAAAGACTGTCTGGCCACTTCAATCTGCCCTCCTCCCTCCTCCCAATATCATGGGGCCATCTCTGAAGCAAGTTGGAAAAGGAATTCAGGAGACATTTTGGTGATAAGGAAACACTTTATTTCAAATACAAACTGGCATCAACAGAATCACTGGTGGGATCAACTACAAACCCTTCCAAAGCTTTTTGAAATCTAGTAGCCTTTTCAGATTATGCCAATAGATCTACTGTTACAGAATCAAGATGTAGCCACTAATCCAGCCCTAACCAAATGATGGTCCTTCACGACAGTGGGAACTGGAACCTTCCCAATCATGGCATATCTCCATCAGAACAGATCAAACTGAGAATGTGACCTCCATCATATGTTGACTGATTGGAACGACCTCTTCAGCTGCTCAAGACAAACTGGTTCCCAAATGGATATTGGGCTCCCTCAGCACTGTAAGCCCGTGGGGCTCTGAACAAGTCCGAGACCAATTCTAGAAGCTCTGTTTGGATTTCATTAAGTGGTAGAAGAGGCAGTTCATTCACAAAATCTCTAGCTTAACCTGCGTACCAAGACCGAATTACACACATTTTAGTATAAAGCAGTTTTCTCAGTATTGTAGAATATTTTGATGGGAGCCACGGCACCTATACATGCTCACCTGTCTCCCTCAACGGTGTTTCATTTTACACAAGCCAAATGGACTACTTCACCCACCACCCACAATTGTGCATGATCTCCATTTTGGCAGCTGCAGCTGCCAAAAAAGCCAACACAGTGCTGGGCTGCATTAACAGAGGGATAGAATCAAGATCACGTGAAGTATTAATACCACTTTACAATGCCTTAGTAAGGCCGCACTTGGAATACTGCATCCAGTTTTGGTCACCACGATGTAAAAAAGATGCTGAGACTCTAGAAAGAGTACAGAGAAGAGCAACAAAGATGANGTATAAGCTATGACAAGAAAGGGGGGAAATAGATCCCCTTTCTCTGGGGGCAAAGAAGCCTCTGCAGGGAGAGTTCCTCAGTGCCTGTGCTTTTATTGTGTAGGCAACAAATCAAGACTATTATTTTCCTGTCTTTTGCTTCATTTGCATTGTTATTTTTTCTTTCTTTCTTTCTTTCTTTCTTTCTTTCTTTCTTTCTTTCTTTCTTTCTTTCTTTCTTTCTTTCTTTCTTTCTCTTTCTTTCTTTCTTTCTTTCTTTCTTCGGCTCCTATTGCTGATCCTGTTTCTACAAAAATAATAAGAAGAAAGTGTTAATTTTATTACTATTTATGAGGCTTCGTTGAAAATGTTTCTACCATAAACTACTTGGAGCATGGATAGTAGAAAGGCAGGAACATTAAACTAAAAAGAATAGCTTTATAGGAACAATTCCTCTACTCTTTTCCGTGCCTCTTTGTGTGGAATGTTTCTGGAGCTAATTCTGTCAGCCTTTACTTGCTTGTAGGAGAAGGCTCTCTTGCAGAAAATAACGATCCCAGAGTAAATAAGTAATATAAAGAAATGCAAAGCACAGGAGCAAAAATTTAATAAAATCACAATCTAGAAAAAAAAAATATAAAAGAATTAAGAACCCCTTGTGGCATGAACACTAAGGAAAAACTATATAGAAACAAATCAACCCTGTATTTATTATTCATGTATTAATTAATTAAACTTATTGTACTGCCAACTACCAAGGTCCCTTGGTAGTTTATAGCAAGACGTAACGTAGAAATTGAAATTCAAGATAGTAGGAAAAACTAGCAATAACAATTAAAAACAATTTACACGGTTTATTTAGGATGTTTTTGAAAGAAAGCAAAGCTGTTAGGTCCCATAACCCAGCAGGGAATGTGTTCCAGAGAATGGAGGGGCTAAAGAGAAGACTTGACCTAAGCTGCAGCAATTGTAGGTGAACTTCCAAAATAATCTCTGGGAGTGGATGGGGCTGGGGAATCTTGTAGAGGTGTTTCTTCAGAGAGCCTGGAACTGAATCATATACCGGTTTACAGATAATAAGATAATACCCCTTTCACGC